AAAAAAAAAAAAAGTTGTAGCTGTTTTGTTGACATTCTGAATGCTTCTAAGTAAATACAATTTTTTTATTAGTTAAAAAAAAGAAATATAAATGCTGGATAATGAATGATATCAAGGAATTATTACTGAGTTTTAGGTGTGATAATGGTAATCTATTTGTATTTTTATAAGAGCATTGGTCATTTTTAGAAATAAATACTAAAGTATATGGGACCAGCAGTTGGTGTAATGGCTATGTCGCTGGATTCCCATGTAGTCAACTATGGTTCGAGTTCAGAACCCAGTGGCTTAAACTCACACCAACACGTGTGCGTGCATGCCCAAGATCCTGAGAGGACAATGGAGGAGAAGAAATTGTGGTGTGGCCATCCCCCCTGGGGGGTGAGTTCTCGTTTTCTGTCTGTCTCTCTCTGTCTTTCTGGTGAGTGCACATGTCCTACAGAAAAAAAAAAAAAAGAAAGAAAGAAATACTAAAGTATTTAAAGATGGATTGCTATGATTGTCTGGGATTTGCTTGAAAATAATCCAGGAAAAGGAAAAATGGTCCGTAAAACTATGGATGATCTAGATTGGCCATGAGCTGATCATTATTGAATCGGGGAGGTGAAGACCTAAGAAATATTCTACTTTTCTATAGCTTAAAATTTTTCCACAAAATAAAATAAAATTAAAAAGATTCTCCAGGATTTAGGTTATGTACTGCAGCCTCTATTTCTGTTTTCGCATAGTGTGGTTCTTTTTGTGCGTTTGCTTTGCCATCGCTCTACAGACCAGCTTTCTCTGCCTTGCTAGACATGTGGCCACCTTAGTCCTGGCTTTATGTGGCCTCTCACTTCAAGAAAGGCTCACTAAGAGGTGTCTTTATATCCAAATTCCTTGGGAGAAATTATACTTGTGTCAAGTGTCCAATCATCTGTGGCCAGGTGAAGGGACATTCTGTCCTCTCTGCAGGTGCTAAAGAGGGAGCATTCTGGCCTGGGCAGAACTTTCTAGCTAGTGTGCCATAGGCTACGGATGCGTCATGCTCCTGGGGTCACCAGACCCAGGTGAATTGTCTTCCAAGGGAATAGAATCATCCACTTATCCCAGGGTACCATATGTATTCCATTATTTTCTGTGCGCTGGGAAGCACTGACCTAGGGAGGTAGGCATACTGGTGCTAGGCAGCCTTCGAGAACATTATCTATAATATAGACTAAACTTCAAGGTTACGACCTTGCTAAGTAGAGGAGCTGCCATCTAACCATGGTTGGTTTCAAGGCTGATGACGCTAACACAGCGTTATGCTGCTTCACCCCACTATTCCATATGATGTTTGTTTATTAGCAGTGTTTGCAGATTCTGAAAGGAGAACATATATGTTACTTGAGTTGTGGTGTTTGTGTGGTGCCACAGTTTGAGTCCCTAGAAAGTAGACTCTGAGGCAGAAATTAAGATGCAAGAGTTTATTGGGAGCAACTTTTTAAAAAAATTATTATTATTTCAGGTTTTTGCCATAGGGTGTGTGAGCTCACTAGAGAGAGAGAGAGAGAGAGAAACAGAGAGAGAGAGAGAGAGAGAGAGGGAAAGTGAGAAACTACCTCCTCATTAGGGGGGATGGTCACGCTGCAATCCCTTCTCCTCTATTCTCCTCTTGCGATTTTGGACACTCAAGCACACAAGCCCGGCCTGATTTTCAAGCCACCAGGTCCAGGGCTCAGAACATGGTCAGCCATGTGAGAGTTCAGTGCCTTAACCACCATACCATCTGCTGGTCCCAGGGAGCAACTCCTAGAAGGGAAGAGGGTAGAAGAAAGCAGGACAGGACAGAGAGAGAAGTTGGGTACCGACACAGTCTCAACAAAGGCTTCAGTCAACCCCATGGGGGAACTGTGGCACTGGACTGGCCCTTTAGGGTTGTCCTGATTGGAAAGTGAGACATTTGCCAATCTGTCATTGGATACGGGCTACTCCCAGGGAGGGGACATGACCTTGGACGACCAGTTAGCTAATTTCCAAAGATGACTGGCCACATTTCCAGCAGCTGGAGGAGTATGTCCTTCAGTCTTATAGCAAGGTGGAGGGGCAGGAGCGGGGACTCGGCATAATACCCTAAATCAAAACTGGTGAGGTATGCTGAAAAGAAATTCTGCTCTACAAGAATAAGTCATTTTAAAGTCACTTCTTGATTTATAAAAGCTGGAATTCTGGGTCGGACACATAGCCTGGTGGTTAAGAGAGCTAGGTCCCACATGGCCCACTGCACAGAAGGTTCAAATCCCAGCCCCAGCAGCTTGCGTAACACACCAGGCATCTGTGTGTGCATGCCCAAAAATCTCAACAGAATGGAAATGAAGGAGAAGGAAGGGATTGCAGCATGATCACACGCCACTGAAGGGTGCGTTCTTCTCTCTCTTTCTCTGTCTCTGCCTGATGAGAGACATGCCCTCTGGCAAATTAAAGCAAAAACAAAGATGGAATATCTAGAGTTGGTGTTCTCTCTGTAGTGAACTAAGAAGGGTGCAGAGGAAAGCAAATGGACCACAGGGGGTGCAAGTCAGACTGGGTTTGACTGGATCGAAGGCAGCATGCCCCTGGGCTCCTGCAACCTGAAAGACAGAAGGAGTTACACAGGCAATGAACAGTGCCCCCGTTACTGTCCATCGTGGGCAGGAGAGTGCTGTGGGACTGAGAGTGGCTGACCACGACTCAGACAGGAGCAGACAGCATAGCCTTTCATTAGAAATTTTTCATTCTCAGGGGGGAAAAAATGATCATCCAGTTGCCTTAAGGAAAAACAGACACTAAAAGCTGTCTCTCATTTTATCTTTGTCTCCTTGTGTGTCTCTGCGGCTGAGATAGTCATTCATTTTACTCGGAGCTCTTCTCAGCCGCATGGTGAGCTGGTTTCACTTTTCCGTTTCCCAAGTCCCCCCAGTCAGCCACTCCGCTCAGACCACAGCTTCCACCTTCCGCAGGTCCCTTTTAACATCTGGCTCCAGCTTCCTTTGCACTGCTGTGCTGTCCGGGCTCTGCTCTGCCCCCTTTGATCTATCCCTTAACTATCCAGACTCGGGGACCAAACAGTGAACTGAAGCAAGACCTACTGAGGGCAGAGAAACCAGGCTCAGCTCTGGATTCCAGCAGTAGTCACCCAGGCGAAGGCTCTCCACACAGGTGTCACCGAAGTGGGCTTACTCGCCCTCAAAGGAAGTGCCCTACCTGGACCCGTGGGCCCCAATTCCTCCAAGTCCCAGGGAAAGGCAAAAGCTAACTTCATTCCCTTCTCTAGGCTGAGCCCTGCTTCTAAAAAGAAATATTTAAGGGCATGCCCTTTCATTTACACTGAATACAGTCTTTATACGACTCCGACTCCGTCAAGAAGTTTTGTCACACATTGTCTTCGGTGTCTCCTTTCGAATAGGATCTTGGCTTTACCTTTTTGTCACGTAAAGGTTCATTAAGCTGCTTCCCCAAACAGGGGAGCAGTGTGCTCCCGAAGGTGAATTCAGACTTACACGGAGGAGAACCAGAAGATCACGAATAGTTTCCTCAGCAGCGTCCCACTCCCCCCCTTCTAGCTGCACTCCCAGCGGGTTTAGGTTTCATCAGTTTAACTGGGTCCAGAAACAGGTAATGCTCTTCATTACGTACCTACTGAGATTATCTGGTAATCATTTACATGTGTTTCTTTGGGGACCATTTCTCCTGACATTTATGGGTGAAAGTGGCCAAGAGGCACAGAACTACGAGGACATCTGTCCTCCACCATCACCGGCTGAAGCGTTTCTGACTCACCAGGTTTCTCACAGCAGCTTTCACGTCCTTGTTCCTCAGGCTGTAGATGATGGGGTTCAGCATGGGGGTCACCACCCCATAGAAGAGGGAGATGAGCTTGTCTGCAAGGTCCTGCTTGTCTGTCCCCAGGGGGTCCTTAGACTTGGGCTTCCCATACATGAAAAGGATGGTCCCGTAGAAGACGACCACGACGGTGAGGTGGGCAGAGCAGGTGGAGAAGGCCTTTTTCCTCCCCTCAGCTGAGGGGATCCTCAGGATGGTGGCGATGATGAAGACGTAGGAGACAGAGATGAACAGAACTGGGGCCCCTAGAAAGATCACATTTGTCACCCCCATACTGATCACATTGATGGAGATGTCAGCACAGGCTAGTTTCAGGACAGCCAGGATCTCACAGGTGAAGTGGTTGATGACATTGTCCCCACAGAAGGGCAACCTTATTGCAAGGGATGTTTGAACTATGGAGACAGCACCTCCAGCTACCCAGGAGCCGGCAGCCATGGGCACGTAGGCAGCCTTGCTCATGACCACAGGGTACCTAAGGGGGTTGCAGATGGCCACGTAGCGATCAAACGCCATCATGCTGAGGAGCACACACTCTGTGGCTCCCATGAAAATGGAGAGAAACATCTGTACTGCACACGCTGAGAAGGGGATAGTTTTTCTGGGGGTCAAGAAACTGTCAAGAATGAGGGGGACTGAGGAGGTTGTGTAGCAGATGTCCAGGAAGGAGAGGTTCCCCAAGAAGAAGTACATGGGCGTGTGCAGGTGGGAGGTGGACACAGTCACCAGGATGAGGACCCCGTTGCCCAGCAGGATCACCAGGTACATCAGCAGGATGAGCACGAAGAAGGTTTTCTCCAGCTTTGGGTGGGCTGAGAGTCCCAGGAGAACAAACTCTGTCACAAAGGATGTCTGGTTGTCACTTTCCATGTGGTGCCTCCTCTGTCATTTGGAGAAAATATTCAGAGGTTCAGACTTACCATTCTTCGCCCTACTAGAGCCAGAGCATCTGTTCTGGAGTCCCAGTCTGTCTGAGTGATTAAAATACAGTTCTGAAAGCTCACTGGTATCTAGTTCTTTCCAAGAAAAAAAGGAGCAACAATGTTGCAGTTAGGTGGAGTAAGTGCTGGTACCCTAGTGCACAATAGGGTATCTAGAGACTTAAACAATAGGTATTGCATATGTCAAATAGCTAGAAGAGAGGATTTTTAATGCTCTCACAGCAAAGAAATGATAAATGCTTAAGGAGATGAGTATGCTAATTACTGTGACGTGATACTCAATGCATACGTGCATGGAAACTTCACATTATATCGCATAAATGTTTGTGATAAATACATGTTCATAAAACAAGGGACGACATAATTGGAAATTATTCGGGGGCCACGGGACACTAAATCTGCAAAATGACTCTGCTAATTTAATGTATTTGATCAGCAACAAAGACACATAACTTTCTTTTCTTTTTTATTTTTTGGAGAGGTTTTTGCTATAGGGTACGTGCGCTCACCAGGAAGACAGAGAGAGACAGAGAGAGAGAAAGCGAGAAATCACCCCCCAGGGGGGATGGTCACACCACAATCCCTTCTCCTCCATTCTCCTCTCGGGATCTTGGGCATGCACGCACACGCACCCGGAGTGAGTTTTAAGCCACTGGGTCCGGGACACGAACCACAGTCGACTACATGGGAGTCCAGCGACATAGCCATTTACACTAACTGCTGGTTCCCCCAACATTCATTTTTTTTTTTTGGAGAGATTTTCGCTATAGGGCGCGTGCGCTCGCCAGACAGACAGAGAGAGACAGAGAGAGAGAAAGCGAGAAATCACCCCCCAGGGGGGATGGTCACACCACAATCCCTTCTCCTCCATTCTCCTCTCGGGATCTTGGGCATGCACGCACACGCACCCGGAGTGAGTTTTAAGCCACTGGGTCCGGGACACGAACCACAGTCGACTACATGGGAGTCCAGCGACATAGCCATTTACACTAACTGCTGGTTCCCCCAACATTCATTTTTTTTAAGAATTATTTTATTTAACTTTCTTTTCTTTAATTAATTAATTAATTAATATTTGTTTTAATTTGACCAGAGAGGGAAGAGCAAGAGAGTGAGAGGGAGAGAGAAAGTGAGAAAGTAAGCCATCCAGGGAGGATGACCACAGCGTAATCCCTTCTCCACCATTCTTCTCTCAGGATTTTGGGCATGCATGCACACGCACCCAACATGATTTTCAAGCCACCAGGTCTAGGAGTCATACTGTGGTCCAGCATGTGGGAGACCAGCTACTTAACCACCACGCCATCTGCTGAATCCCATAGGCTTATTATCAGCTAGATTTTTCTGTACCAAAAAGAAGGGGTTCTACCTGGCTGACCCTCAACCTTTGAGACAATGCTTAAACTGCTCTATTGCTTCCCTTCTCAAGCCCCAACACCTCTGAAAAGACAAGTCACAAGTTAGAAATATTACTGTGCTAATAAAAGATTGAATATTACTCTTATAAGAACCCTCACCTACCTTTATTAGGAACCTACTGAGAAAGGGTCCCTAAGGCTTAGGCACAGTGCGTGGGTCAGAAATAACAACATTTGAAGGGAGAAGACTTAGATGACAACTTCTCATTTGAAGAAAGAAGAACGCCAGTCCTTCCACTCTGCCTTGATTCTTTGTTTTAGGCAAAAATCTCCAAATGAACAACTAGTATGTGAGAGGGTAATTTGAAATCAGCACTATCATGGGGACTCCTGTGCTCCCTGAAGTGATTATAAGTTTCAACATCAGGATACTTTTATACATCTGGGACAATGTCCCCAAGATCCAATTACACTGAAAGAACTCCAGGAAGACTACTTTTCCTCCTCTCTTTGTTCCTGTTGTGACTTTCTACACTTAAGCAGACATCAGGGGAAGCATTCCTATGTCCTGCTTAAATTTATACAAGCTTCAAAATGTTCCAAATTCTTAAAAAGAAGCAGGGAAGCTAAATATTACTTAGAAATGCTCTATGTTCATGGCAGTATGGAGCCATCAGCTGTGGGTACCATGATTCTAAATCAAATGCTCAAGGGGATGGCTGTGGACACTTGGGGGAACTTGAAAGCACATCCTTAGGGAAACATCAGGAGCAAGTAGTTTTAGGCCAGGTCTTCAACAATGGGAGAGAAGTTACTCTTGAAGACTGGGAACAGAGGTTTGTACAGGTCTTAGGTCTGCATATTTCTTCCACAGCTTCAACAAGTCATTTGTTTGGAAATCATCATGTAACAGAAGGTCTAGCACAGAATACAGGGAAGACCTTCTCTGCCGGTGGAATCAGGAGTACAGTAGACAGTATCTAATACGGCCCCAGTGATTCTTGCCTCCTGAAATTCATGGCCTTGTATAAATCCTTCCTCCTGAGAAACTTACTTCTAAGTAAAAGAATACTTTCTTGATAGCTTTGATAAAACCAGCTGCCATATTAGAGAAATAAATATGGCAAGGAACCAAGGGAGGTATCTGGTCAATGGGCAGTTAAGAACTAGCTCTTTAGTCCAACAACTCTCAAGGCAATGAACTCTGCCTGCCAAGTAAGTGATTTGGAAGCAAATCTCCTCACTGAAACTTCAGATGGCATAACAGCCCTAGCCAATTCCTTAATCACAACCTTGTGAGAGACCCTGAAGCAGAGAATTAGCTAATCTATAATCACATCTTGATCTACATAAACAGTGAGACAATACACATGTGTTTTAAGCCACTAAGTTTTAGAGTAGTCTGTTACATAACAATAAATAACCAATATATAGAGTATGGTTATGAGCTGTGGAAGAATCCAGGGAAAGAAAGGGGTGACATATCTTAAAAAAAAAAAAAAAAAAAAAAAAGGTGGTACTGAGGGGAACCCTCTACTTTCTCAAAAGTCTGCTCCAAGGCAGGATGGTGATGTAGTGGCAAAACACATTGCTCTGCAAGGCAGCCCACATGGGAAGAAAGGTTCCCAGTTCAAGTACAAAGACCTCCCTGAGTACACCAGACACATGTTGGCTTGCTTATAATCTGGGGCAAGCCTAAGTCTCAAATTGTGACATCAGTATCCTTTTGAGGGTGCTGTTTTTTTCTCTCTCTCCACAAATAAACTTTTTTTTTTGTAATCTGCCTTATTTCCAGAGGACATTGGTGGGCAGAAGTTTTCTCCTCATTCTAGATTGACGCCTGCTTCTATCTTGGGTCTTAGCTCAGCCATTGGCCACACAAGACATGATCACTTCCTTTATGTATCAGCACTTCAGAGATAGAAAAACAGTTAAGTCAAGTGGGCATGCTCAGTTACACTGAAGATGTGACTCTGAAGTAAGCATAACACTCTATTGCCTGTTCTGAAAACCATGTTTCTATTAGTGTGTTAGAGATACCGTCGATGCCGTTGGCTTGCCAGTTAAAGACCATCTCCTCCAGAAAACTTTCCATGCCAACTCCTGCTTATAGAACTCTCCTTCCTCTGAATTTCAGAAGTTTCATTCTCTGGGATGTCTAGGTTTGTTTTGAAGTCTGGAGACCAACTTGTCTTATTGATATTTTTTTCTGTATATGTCTGCGTGCATAGCTCTCTTCATACTCCACATACATCACATGATAATGTGTGTGTGCACACTATATAAGTGGCATAACTCTTTTCCTTTTAAGTCTCAAGGATCTAGTAATATTTCTTCCCAAGATCGAATGACAATAGGCTCCCTAGAGAATCATGAACTTGAACCTTGATGTTCCAATACTCCTTGATTTGTCTAATGGATGTTCCAGAATTCACTCACATTTTAATTTTTCCTTTTGGATGGAAACTTGGTGGTGATACTGTTTAGAAATAGTTCTTTCAACTGTGCCCTTATTTTTCATAGAAGAGGTAATATTTATGACCATAGTGGCAAGGAGCAGGAATCAAAATAATGAATAGTCAGCTCAGTTTCCTGGGCTTACTCTGTATCTTGTTCCAAACTGAAAAGACTGCTGTCACGTTGAGCTTCTTCACTGCTTTTCATTCTGTTACTACTGACAGGGGTCTCTAGAAGCACACACTTTAGGTCCACAGCAAATGTAATGCCTTAGGTGATCCCTGCAGAGTAGCAAAGCTTTGAGAAACATTATCATGCTTCCTCTCTCCTCTCAGAAGCCTTAGTGAGGTAAGTCATTGCCCCTAGAAGCTTGTTGAATTGATAAAAGCTTGTTTAAATTAAGGCAGATATATCAGATATTGAAAGATCAGACTGAGTTATGCTTACCTTTAGTAGAAATTTTTTTTTTTTTTTAAGAAAGATTTTTGCTATAGGGCATGTGTGCTCACTGGAAAAACAGAGAGACAGAAAGTTAGAATCATCCCCCCTGGGGGGATGGCCACACTGCAATCCCTTCTCCATTCTCCTCTCGGGTTTATTGTTTTATAGGGCAAAAAGGGGGAGGGAGAAGCAACTTGGAAAGCCAGTTGTTTTCTGATGTTATGGACTGAAGATGTGGACCATCTGGCGTCTTGGGGCTTGTCTTGTGGTTCTATGGGAGTTTCCTCTTATCTTCCCAGGCCATCTCTGGCTGACACATTGCTTCCTTTAATCAACACTGCCCTGCAATGTTAACAAAAGAAAGCAGGATCATATCTTTGTTAAAGCTTTCCGCTAGCCCTGCTGAGTCAGCACAAGGACCAAGTCTCTGCTTGTGTTTAAAGGTCACTATTGTGTTGCTGAGATCCGGCCGCTTGCTACAATCTGCCACCCTGGAGCCTGCCTTTCTCCATCTTCACTATCAGCAGCTTATCTGTATCCAAAAGAGAGGGACAGTAATGGGAGGAATCTACAGCAGTTGAAGGGAGCAGCCCACCTAGGTGTGTGCCTTTCTCCACTGGCACTGCACCCCTCCACCTCTGCACCTTCAAAGGGCACTGCTTCCCACCACAAA